ATGATAGAGGCCCCGAAAACCCCATATGCCAGAAGGTTGCGGTCGTTGAAATAGTAAACGTCCATCACCATTGGTCCTGCTTCAGGTTTCCAGAAGCCTCTACATGCCATCTCTGTAAAAAGTAAGCCTAGCATCCGTCTTCACTGCTAGTTAGTGCGCCCAATGCTGGTTCCAGCTTCCATCGGTTCAATTGATACCCAAAGCTAATCTGGCTATTAAGCTTGCAAAACTCCTTGGTCGCATCAAAGCCAGACACTCAAAAAACGCGCAGGTCCAAGTCGCGCGTTCTGCCAATACCGTAGCGTCTCGCTGCGGGTGCGCAGTTAGCCTCGCCCGCGCGAAGTGTCGCGTTGCCCGGAAGAGCGAAAACAGTCCGCGTTCTGGTCTAAAGTACCCACAACCCCCGACTGTGTCGCACGCCAAGGCGGTCGATCAAAACTGCGACCTTAGCGCCATCTCCCTGCGACTTTAACGAATTTTCACAGACACATTGCAGAGAGTCATCTGAATTCGAAGCTCAAAAAAAATTGACGATCAAATTTTAGCATTTTAGCCGGCAACCGCTCCCGAACCACGACAGATATAACATCTACCAAAACTGTGGGGCGATTGACGCAAACTGAACGCCACAACTCAATATAAAAATTCTCATCGAGGAATCGAATTCCGGACCACTATTTAACCCTTAAAAGCACAGGGAAAACGGAAAATACTTCCTGATTCGATGTAAGAATCTCTACTAGCAACGAAACATTTTGAAAAAGCACCTTACGTCCTGAATGACCCTCCTTGTTAGACTGCAGAAAGTACGTCGATTTGTACGCGAAAGAGAAAATGGTTCCGATTCCTCGCTTCTTCACCGATTTCCTTTTATTGTCTCTTCACTGACAGTCCAGTTCTAGCCCCTACTTTCATTTAAATCAAAATACCAGACCGGTACGACCAAGGGACATGCCCTTAATTTGAACAGTCAAATGATAACTTCGAATTCCATCTACGTCAACAGCCCCACATATAAAAGTAGAAAGTGAAATAGTTGACGCAAATAATGTTTTGAAGCCGGACGGAAAGCACCACAGTTACCTTTATCAAACTAATCAAAAGTAAATTTTGAACATCAAAACAACAACACATCTTTCCTATTAAATTTATGATTCTATTTGAGAAAAAAATCCACTCAATTTCGATTCTGCAATACAACTTTGCTCAAAAGGTTAGCGTTATGTAATCGCCATTGCTACTTTGTAGTCGTCGGCAAGCGAAAAGAAAGTATTTGTTTTCCAAAGGTTGATAAAGTACTACCTTGGCGCTGCCATGGGATATTCCTCTGGTAAGAACAACTCCAATTTGAACACACCGCCAGCGAAAGGAGAATCCTGAGGCCCAGCAATCATGACATGGAAATAACTGAAAATATCGACTTTTTGGAGTTCTCAGTCTTTAAGCATCAAAACAATACCGTGCATTGTTGTCGTCTGGACTTGCAGAGATGCCTGGCACTGGGTCAGCCATAAGTCTTTGCGTTTCCTTGATTATTCTACGCGGCAAAGCTCCAGCCATTTATGTCTGACTTCCGCTCGATGAACCTGAACTCGTATAAAGTATTTGCCAACTGAATTCTCAAATCACGCCTGATAGACACTTCATCCTCGTTTGAAAGAAGCACTGAAAAGGATGGTACAGAGAAGGTCTGTATGCATTTAGTTGAATTCTGAACTACCGCACAGAGCACTACAAAGAGTCAAACGATCACACAGGAGTTGTGTGTATTGAGTGAAGCTAACTCGGTTCAGTTAAGCCAACTCTCAGTTCCTATCAACAAAGACCAGCTTCCACTGAAGATCAGAAAAAAAGGTTTCGGAAAATCGTTTCGTGGTTCACAGCCGATTCCATTCTGAGCTAACAGCAGCAATCTGGCACAAAATTAGAACAGCGCTAAATGTGCCCGTCATATTTTACACAGGGTCACCAATAACTCTGAACAGTTTCTGAACAATAACAGCTTTCTAGCAGAAAGTAAATTTGAGCGGTTTTGTTGGGAATTTGATTATTGTTTTGCCAAAATACTAGGACAGAAAGCGACTTTTTCGCATTTCGCAGCGCGAAAATTTTTCCGCTGCGGGAACCTCAAGTCTACCGCTGATCATGAGTGGACCCGAAGTTCTCGCAGCGAATCATCAGTGGAGCCGAGATTCCCGCAGCGAATCATCAGTGGACCCGAAATTCCCGCAAAAAACAATGCTTCGCACGGCGAAACGCGAGGAAGTCACTTTCTGTACTATTGAACCACACCCCAACAAGATAGGTTAGGCTGCTTTCATAGTCTGCGGTCCGTGCCGTCCGCGCCGTCCGCGCCGCCCGCGCGGACGGCTCGGACAGGGTGAAAAACGTCAACACGCGCTCCGGCGCATAATGCGCACTTGGCGCGCAGTCGGCGCCTCCCTCGATCGATAATGCTGATTTCGAAACATTTTTTCTGTATTTTGACGTTTTGTGCGCCGTTTTTGCTTTTTCTTGCGCTTGCTTAGCCCAAAACGTTTCCTTTTTTGTATGGATTACTGCTTTTGCTCACTAATGGACCCACTTGGTGCTTATTGCCACTTTCAAACACAGTGTATGAAACTAACCATTCTAGGACAGTTGAAAAGCAGTGATTCACACAAAAAGGAAAAGCTTCTCGCGAAAAAGTACGAGAAGCAACACGGCACAAGGAGCACCAGGAAAACACAAATAGAATGTGATGAAATCGCTTTTATAAACTGGAGGGCGTCGACCGGCTTTCGCTTGTTTTTTTGGCGAGAATATATTTCTTTTTCATGTGAATCACTGCTTTTCAACTGTTCTGGAATGATTAGGTTCATACACTGTGTTTGAAAGTGGCAATAAGCACCAAGTGGGTCCATTAGTGAGCAAAAGCAGTAATCCATACAAAAAAGGAAACGTTTTGGGCTAAGCAAGCGCAAGAAAAAGCAAAACGGCGCGCAAAACGTCAAAATACAGAAAAAATGTTTCGAAATTAGCATTATCGATCAAGGGAGGCGCCGACTGCGCGCCAAGTGCGCATTATGCGCCGGAGCGCGTGTTGACGTTTTTCACCCTGTCCGAGCCGTCCGCGCGGGCGGCGTGGACGGCGCGGACGGCACGGACCGCAGACTATGAAAGCAGCCTTATCGGATGTGATGTGTTACGAACAAGATAAAGACGAGCTCGGTGCCAGAATCTACCGATACGTCTGGCCGAAGCGGGTGAATGTGAATGTGCTCTACATCAGAAATCGAACATATCTGGCATCACACCATTGCAATGACAGTCTACTGACAAAAAGTCTTGTTAATAGAAGAGAAAAAGGTCCAGCAGGACAGAATTTTGGAAAAACTTATTGTGTCGAGGATTCTGGTGGGACTCGCCGTCTTCCGCACCCATAACAAGACTTGGCAGTAGGTCGTTCAGATCGCGTTTACGCATTTGAAGACGAGAGGAAAGGAGTAGGGAAAAGCGAGAAGAGCAAATAGAAAAACGATGTTCCTTTCTATTTTTTCCCCACTTATCCCAGCAACTAATACTGACTCAAAATTTCGAAGTTTGTCCCTTGGTGCTTTTCTTTCCTTTGATGGTTTTTTTTATCCAAGAGCACCACCAGGAGAAGGAAAAAAGGTGAAGAGAAAGAGAGACAAATGCTAAAACACCTCGAGCAAAAGTGAACCCTACTTCAGCTAGGTCCGCTGCATCTTTATGCAAAATTCGGCCCGCCATGGTTTCTTGACACAGATGATGTCTTCCACATTTTCCACTTGAGAATCAACTTGGGATTCTCCACATGCACGAAACATTGTTCCGCTAGATATCAAGTTTCAAAGAAGATTCGGTGGCAGAGCTTGGTTTGATAGAAGTGGGTGTTTCTCTCGTGACGTGGCCTTTGTTTTTATCGAAAAGCAAGGAGAGAACATTGGAGCTCTTCTCAGCTCCATATCATTGGAATCCCTGAAGAGATTCCTGAGATTGGCGTGAGTTTTGTCAAAATCACCACGGTTGCTTATTTCAGCAATTTCGGGACCGCCTGACCTCTTTCAAAGCCTCACAGCACTTTTTAGTATACTGTTCCCTTGAGAATTAAAATGTTAGAACAATGAAAAAGTTTCGTGAAACGGGTGCGAGAAATAATAGAAAAACATGTGGTGGAGTTATAATTATGGGACATCGGCTAAGTGGCCTTTTACACAAAAATTGCTAGAAAAAATTAATGACACCTTAGGTCAGAAGGTGATGTTTATAGGGATTCTCGCATTTATATTTATCACATTGTCACATTGGAGATTTTTCCAGAAACAACCAAATTTGTAAGATTTGTGGAAATTCTTAAGTGGAGTTATAATTATGGGACGCAGTGTATTATTGGGTGCATTCGTGTCTGAATACCTAACTAGCCAAGTTACATGTACGAAAATCGATGTTGCCTGAAAGATGTCACTTACGCGCTCTTGTGCAAATCCGCCAGCACGCTCAAAAAGGTTACGGTAACACAAATTCATCGGACTGCCAGTTCGGTGCAGGTGCAATACGGAACACCTTCTAGAACCTAACTTTATACGCCAACCTTAGCCACATCTCAAATTCTATGAAGTTGTCCGACGGTGAAGTGATAGGGATTGGAATGAGTCACACCAGATAGGGAGATCCCACAGGGTTCCCACGTCATCTGGAGCCACGAAAGTAAATTTAAGATGTTAGGACACCACAGCGCAACACATGTGTGACGTTACGCTGAAAGAAGTTTCGATTCGAAGTATCAGCTGCTATCCGTGAAAGGAGGCAGAGGCTCGTTGACGTTAGTCTGCAAAAGAGGTGCAGCCAGGGTCAACCGTCAGTTCAAGCTGTTCGACCGAAGGGGTCGCATTTTGATCGGAAGGGGGTCGCAATTTCGAGGACTGCAGCCACAGCCGCGTGCGTGGCGTATTCGAGGGCAAGAATTGCTTGTGCAGACCGCATTAGATTTGATTTATTACGCACAGAGAAACAGTATTAGGCAAATTACGGTGTTTTCCTACGCAGTAAAGAAGTGTTAAATGCATCCTTGTGAAAGGTTTCACTTCTCGGGGCTGAAAATAAAGTTCTTCAAAGACCTCATTTTTTGGAGCGCTTCTTCTAGAGAACTGTAATATACATGAGTCAGCGTAAATCTCGTAGTCTTCAGACGTCGTAGACCTTGACGCAGCTACAAACATAGTGGCCCTTAAAATGGTCACGTATTCTTTAATCTAGAGGAGGATTTCTGAACCATACGAAATCTTCATCCCAATAAATTTCTCGCTTACTTTTTCTTTTTATTAATATGGTGATTTAAATAGTAGCAGAAGTAGATAAGGAACCTTAGGGATGGCATTATGTGTGCCTTGATTGGAATAATCAACGTAAAATTGCTTCTGATGTCCATTGCTAGTTCTGAAAAATTTCGGCTTTTCGATGTTACTCCATGTCTTTCGATCGAAATTCCACTACTATACCCCTGGTTAGGATGGCTCATTAAAATTTACTGATTTGGTTCTGAATTGATCACTAATTGTGTATTTATCATTCAAAATCTGCTTGAACGACCTGAGGCAAACGCGCCCGCAAAACTGCCGCGGTCCCACGAAGCCAAAAACGCCAAAACTCGCGTTGTCGTCAATGTGTTAATTTGAAACCTACTTGGATTGAGCACACTCGAGAATTTTTAGTAAAAGCACTTTTTCATTCCTTGCTCTCCCTCCCACTAACGCTTGCCTAGTGGAGAATGTTTGCCTCTTTAACATATCGAAATTTCAACTGAACTGATTCAGCAGAAGAAAAGTTACGGCCGAAAATCCATTTGGCCGGATATTTTTGAGCGCCATTGTATATGGGCCTCATTTTCCCGAATCTGAGGGAGCCCCCAATACGGCAGGGAGGACGCTCGGGAGAGGTTGCTAGAAAAAATCTTTCCCGAGTGTTGTAATTGTTTCAAAGTCAATAGATTTCCACATGTTAACTCAAATATCTCGAATACCATACAATAAGGCCTCAGATATCAATATAGAAACACCTAAAATAGCCTACATTTGTAGCATTTTTGGTGCAATACAAAACTCATAGAAATGATTACAACCCTTTTATCCAATGGCTACAATAGAGAATTATTACATCTAGTGTTGTAAAATGTATTTATCGAAATTATTATTTAAATTCATTATTTATAAGTTCGACCTTAACAATAATATCAAAGCTCTCTACAGATTAGTTAAAAATATAGTAAATAATCATCATCTTCCTTCTGAATTTCAATTGTATACAGCTCCTTAATGCTAGCATATTTTTATGTATATTGGGTTTACCAGCCCTTCGTCCAACATATTCTTATACATATACCGTTCCACTCTCCCTTTTCACTTTGTAATACTTTAACACTCATAATTTTATTATGATAGTTGTACATATCAAAATTCTAACTTAACTTGCCCCAATCCAATTAAAGAATTCACTGATGGGCGCCCCGAGTATCAAACGTAGTTTTTCTGATATTTACCTAATCTTGGTTGCACCACATC